ATTCATACTCTTATTTAGAGAATCCCACCAACGATCCTTTGAAAGGCTTCAAATATCTGGGGTAGAGGCGATGTCTTTTGAATGCCTCATAATATAGTATGTATACAGAACACCCCTGGTCGATGAGAACCTCTTTTTTATTTTTCATTCGCCACACTTAACGGTAACAACCATTAGGTCATCATTATGAGAGTGGATGTCAGCTGAATCTTTCTTTGAGAATGAGGTTGTGGCTTCTGACGCATGGGGTTCTCTCTCGGTCTCGACCTCTAGGAGTTCTTCTATACTTAAGATCTAGTATGTGTACCTTCTATGAGCGGAGCTAGTTTCCCCGCCCTTGACAAATCCTCCTGCTATGGTGTTAAGCGTGTGGAACACAACTTTTCTACCCTCTCCTTAAGATACCTCTTTCGCTTTATTGAGTTTGGGACTAGGCATGGCAACGAGGCGGGGTGGGGCGAGGGTGGGTTTAGCTATCCCTACACCCGCACCCGCCTCTCTTTATAGACCTGCCCCTCTCCCAAACTTAGTCAGGGGTAAAAATTTACCACCCAGATCCGCCCCAATTAAAACGGGTTTACCCGCACCCACCCCCACTCGCAAAAAAAAATAATTCTTTTAAATAGTAATAAAAATTAAAAATTTTATTAAAAACTTGACCATTTTAATAATAAATTTGTTTCTAAAGATAAGGGTTTGAGTGAATGGTGAGAAATGACTAATGAGGACTTTTAATTTCTTCTCTAAAAGTGAATAAATGTGTAATAAAATAATTTAAATATGGGTATTGAAGTAAATACCATAAGACTGTGCGGGGCGGGTAGTAGCATCCCCGTCCCCGCACCTGCACCCGCAATTACAAATTGGATTTCCCCCACACTCGCATCCAATTAAATCGAGTTTTCCCCGTTAATTTTAGGCCGGGTCCGGGCGGACCCCGACGGATCCGGGTTTTCTTGCCATGCCTATCTGCGACTTCCCACGCCCTATCGCCCATGCGAGTTGTCTAACGCATGGGAGCAGTCGCCCTACACATATTTCTTGAGATCTCTTTCATAGACCTCTAAAATTCCTTTTTTAGCTGATAGCAATCTTCAATGTGGTGTCTCTTAACTCTATGGAACTTGCATCATCTTTCGGTTTTAAGGCCCATTACATCCGTCTTTGGAGCGGGTGATGTAGGGATGTTGTGTAGGCAAAGAACCTCGTGCAGATATGCTCACGATGGGTGTTCATGGGCGTGAAGTCCTCCATCGCTTTTCATGTCCTTTTGAACATTGTATTATCTTTTATGGGAAAAGTATAATTGTTCTTCCTCTGTTTGTGTAAACCCTTGGTGCTGGGAACACGTTCATTGACATTGCACACCTTTTTTTCCAGCATTTCTCTTCTCCCTTTTTATGTAGTATTCTGCTATAGTGACCACCTCCGCAAACGAGAGTGCTGGCTTATGGTCGAGAGATTGTTTGAAGTGTCCTACCTTTAGTCCATTTTGAAATGTCCCTATAAACATTTATTGGTTTGGTGGGACGATCCTAATGGTGGCCTTATTTAACTGAGCGAGATAGTCCCTCAGTGATTCTAACGGATCTTGTTGTATGTTGAAGAAGCTGGTGGTGAACATCTTTTTGTGACGGCTGACGGCGAACTAATGCACAAGCTTTCTTACCAATTCTTGATAGTTGGGAAGTAGTCAAAATCTTACAAGTTAAACATTATAAGAAAATACAAAGAAATGTTGTTGGCAAGTCATCAAATCCTACGATTAATGAAAAAAATACAAAGAAATGACGTTGACAAATATTAAACTCCGAACAAAAAGCTTATACCTCATTTATTATCACATATGAGTTGAGATATCTCAGTCACTCGTAATATTTTATATATAGATTAGTAATTGTCTTATATATATATATATATATATATATATATATATATATATATATATATATATATATATATATATATATATATATATATATATATATATATATATATATATATATATATATATATATAGCAACTCCTTCATTCTAAAATGATTCATTAATTTTTTTTATTCAATCTTTCAAATTTTGTAATTTCTTCAACGTAAAGTATTTCAAATTGTCATTTTTTGTTTTAAAAAAAGATGGAACGTTATAAGGGAAAGTTGATTAGTCGTTGTTTAGAAGTTTTGAAATATCCAGATTTTGACTCCGAATACCCCAAACAAAGTTACAAGTGGAACGGAACAAAAATCTATTGGAGCTCGAATGGTTTGTAGAGGAACCCTACCTTCTCTCGTTCATTCGACACGTGCAATTTCTTTTCCTTCCATACGTCCCACAATTTTTATTTGAACTCCTTTTGTATCTGCCTATTCAGCTAATTCAATACCTTTTTGCATTGCTTTACGAAACGAAATTCGATTCCGTAATAGTTCGCTTAAAAATTCTGCAACAATTTTAGCGTCTCTATAAAGATAAGGACTTGGAAGTTTTGTAATTTCAAGGTCGAGTTCTCGGTTCCCACAAGTTACTTTTTTTTGCACTTAAGTCTTTAATTGTTCGACTCTTAGATCCTTAACCTTTTCTTTTAAGGAGTCTGGAAGTCCCATATAGATTATCACTTTAATCAGATCGATTCTTTTTTGAATCTTTATTCGTCCCATTCCATAGCCAGAGATATCGGTCTCGAATTCACAGGATTCGGGTACCGTTTTTTGTATAAAATTATTGATACAATATCGTATAATTTTATCTTCTTTTACATTCTCGGAATACATTTTTGGTTTTGCAAACCAAATAGAATAATGACTTTGAGTTGCACCAAGTCGGAAAACAAGCGGATGTATTTTTTGGCCCATAACCACCACTCGGTATCTTTTTGTTTATCCATAATTATATTTTTTTATTAAACTTTCTATATCTTTATTTCTTTTTCTGTTGCAGAATAATACAATTCTTTTTATTCTGCAACAGATTGAGTAATTTATTAATTAATCCGAATCCTCATAATGTTCATTTTTATCAATGATGATTGCGAAAAGTATCCTAAAATGAATGGGAAAATTCACTTCAATGATGATTGTGACCTGTATTTTTAAATATATGGTAAAAAAATATAGGTCCAAGGGTAAATTGAGAAATATATTTTTTTCTCATTTTTTGGATACCCTCCCAAGTTTTCGAGTAGGTGAAAATTCTCCTAATTTATGGCCTACCATACGATCTGTTATATAAATAGGTAAATGCTCTTTTCCATTATGGATAGCAATGGTATGCCCAATCATTATAGGTATAATGGTAGATGTTCTGGACCAAGTTTTTATTAACTCCTTTTCTCCTTTTGTGTTAAGCTTCTTTATTTTTCTTAATAAATGATTGGCTACAAAAGGATTTTTTGTTCGTGAACGTGTCATAGTTAATTATTCCTCCTATAATAACTAAAAAAGTTAATTTTGTTCTCTTATATTTCCAATTCTAAAATATAGAATCTCTAAAAAAAGAAAATCCTATAATGTCCCAGTAAATTGCTATTTTCTTTTGTAAAGACGAAGAAACAAATTCTATTTTATCTACGCTTACGCTCGACTATTTACTACGGCGACGAAGAATCAAATTATCACTATATTGATTTGTTTTTCTAGTTCTTCTTCCAAGTGCAGGATAACCCCAAGGAGTTGAGGGTTTTTTTCTACCAATTGGGGCCCTCCCTTCACCACCCCCATGTGGATGGTCTACAGGGTTCATAACGACCCCTCTTACTACAGGACGCTTGCACGGGGCGACATGAGGCAAAAAAGGTGAGCTCCTATCAAGTTGTTCCGACCTAGGATAATAAGCTCATGGCGTAGGTTCACTGTCATCACTTCGCCCTCACGCTCGCGTAAGAAGACTAGCATCTCCTAACTTCTTCCACATCCTTCTCGCTTCAGCGGTGTGCAACAGTGTAAAACCCAATCACCCAACAAAGCATTAGTTCTCCCTAATATAGGAGAATAAGATAGCTCCTGAGCTAGGCGTGACTTCACCGTCACGAAACGAAACATAACGAAGTTTTCTATTTAGTTTGATGTGCTTCCTTACTATGTAGGGTGTGAAGCAGTGTAAAACCTAACTAACAAAGCATTAGTTCTCCCTGAACAAGAGGTAATCCAGCCATACCTTCCAGTACGGCTACCTTGTTACGACTTCACTCCAATCACTAACCCTGCCTTCGGCATCCCCCTCCTTGCGGTTAAGGTAACGACTTCGGGCAAGACCAGCTCCCATAGTGTGACGGGCGGTGTGTACAAGGCCTGGGAACGAATTCACCGCCGTATGGCTGACCGACGATTACTAGCGATTCCGACTTCATAATTACTGCTAACCTTCTATAAAAAAATATATATATAAAAGATAAAAAAAATTCATAGAATTGTTAAGATGCCGCCAATCAGTTGGATTATAATTACATATATTCTAAAATATTTGTTAAAATGTCTCAGAATATATGTAATTAGAATCTAACTAATTAGAACCTCTCATCAATTCTATAACTTTATATATATATATATATATATATATATATATATATATATATATATATATATATATATATATATATATATATATATATATATATATATATATATATATATATATATATATTCTGAGACATTTCAATAGTAATTTTAATGATTATTGTATCTTTTTATTAAAAAAACCATACAATAACTAATAATAATAATTTCAACTTTCATTTACATATTTTTGTTTAATTTTTTATTGAATGTATCAACTATTTTTAAGAGACAGAATCTACATACTTGGTTGATTCAAGAGCTGGAAAAAAATTTCCACTCATCAAAATTTTAAGACATAATAATAAGAAGGTAATGTAATTGGGTAAGGTGGGGACCACAAGTTCTATCTTGAAGATCTTGTCAAATAACAAAGCTCTATCTTAAGATCATATCACATTTAAAATCCCAATTCCCTTCTTCTACTCTAAACTGTGTACTGCTTCACACCCAAATGGAGATGACCCTTTATTCCTCTTCATCATTCTCTCTTCCTTCATCACCTTCCAATCCATCCCTTTCCCCTTTCACTTCCTCTTTCCCCTTCGCGTCTTTCAAAACCTCACCTTTCTCCAAATGTCGCATCAGGGCTTCCATTGCCGTTGAGCAACAAACCCGGCAGAATAAGACCGCTCTTATCAGAATTGGTACCAGAGGAAGGTAATTTTACTCGTTTATGCTTCTGGGTTCTTTTCATTTTGGCTTAAATGAGTCAACTTTAGTTAAATTTTGCATTTTTATAGTGTTTGATTCAATGGGTCTGTGCTATGTTAGGTTAAATTGTGTTTGGTAAAGCTGTTTAACATATTGACTTTTAGAGAATAGGGTGTTATTGAGATTTGGTGATTGTAGTTATTGCCAAAAATTGATTTTGCTTTGTTGTAAATTTGTGAATTTCAGAACAAAAGGGGTTTTGTTAATTGATTGTAGTTATTTAATGCATGCACAGAATCCCAACAGATCTAAACATCCCTCAGGCCCTTCCTTAGAGGATGATTATAGAAAGGGATAAATGTAATAATGAATGAAATGCTTGCAATCATCTTGGTTGATAATAAGTGATTTTTAAGAGAATCAGTCTCATCTTTGGTTTCTTCTGTTATGGAAATTTTTTGTTTTTTGTTTTTTCGTTATTATTTAGCCTATTAATGTTAGCTAGATGATTATGAATGTTTCCGTTGGTGTAACAAATACGTATGTTTATATTTAGAGCAGTCCACTAGCTCTGGCGCAAGCGCACGAGACGAGAGACAAACTCATGGCATCACATACAGAGTTAGCTGAAGAAGGAGCTATTGAAATTGTAATAATTAAAACAACCGGTGACAAAATATTATCGCAACCGCTCGCAGACATAGGTGGGAAGGGATTGTTCACAAAAGAAATAGATGAAGCACTCATAAATGGGGACATTGACATTGCTGTTCATTCAATGAAAGATGTTCCCACATACTTACCAGAGAAAACTATTTTACCGTGTAACCTTCCACGAGAGGATGTTAGAGATGCATTTATATCATTGAGTGCGGCTTCACTAGCTGATCTTCCGGATGGAAGTGTTATTGGTACTGCTTCACTTAGACGGAAGTCACAAATTCTTCACAGATATCCATCTCTAACTGTAAGCTAGTGTTTCTGTCATTTTAGTTTGTCTGGAGCACTGATTGAATCTAATTGATTTTTATTTAACCTATAGTTATAACCTCAGGTGCAAGATAATTTCCGTGGCAATGTCCAAACAAGGCTTAGAAAACTCAGCGAAGGGGTTGTCAAAGCTACGTTATTGGCTTTGGCTGGACTGAAACGATTAAATATGACAGAAAATGTAACTTCAACCCTATCGATCGATGATATGCTTCCAGCTGTTGCCCAAGGTGCAATTGGAATAGCCTGTAGAAGTAATGATGATAAAATGGTGAGTTTTAAGTATATTTCATGAACTTGTCACATGTAAAACTTGATGAAAACACTTTTTTGTTTAAATTTTCTCTGTTTAATGTATAAATATATTTCGTGAGCTATAGTTTCATACCTTTAGGATACATGTATGATTTCGCGTAGGCTGATTTTTAAATTGGCGAAGAGCTATTTCATCGAAATATTTCAATTTAAGGACCTAAGGGTTTTCTACGTCATATAGTTGTGTTTAGTTTTATCGTATTTGGTTGTCTGATTTCTGCAGGCAGAATATCTTGCTTCGCTGAATCATGAAGAAACAAGACTAGCAATTTCCTGCGAAAGAGCCTTCCTTACAACTTTGGATGGGTCTTGCCGAACACCTATTGCAGGGTATGCTAGCAGAGACAAGGATGGCAATTGCTTATTTAGAGGATTAGTTGCTTCCCCTGATGGAACTCGTGGTATGTACATCTTAGCAATACATTTTTTTGCTTTCTAGTTTCCGATACATTAACAGTTACCATTCTTAACCTAAACTCCATTTGTGCAGTGCTTGAAACTTCCAGAATCGGTTCTTATACTTATGAAGATATGATGAAGATAGGTAAGGATGCCGGTGAGGAGCTTCTTTCTCGAGCTGGACCTGGCTTTTTTAATAGTTAACATCCTAAAGTTTCAACACTCAATCGGTAAGACATGTATGGTAGGTTGTATTATCAGAGCTTTTTTAAAGTGGCTGCACCCGAAGTATGTTTATTCTTTTTCAACTGAACTCCTTATTAGTATCAAATTGTTGTATTTTATTAGGTGATTGGAAAGCCAAATTTTGTAATATTTTTTGTTCCTGCAATAGTGAAATTTTAGAATTTGTCCTTCCCACAGGAAGTTCCAATGGGTGATTCTTGACTCTGGTTCAAGAAAGCAACAATTAAAATACCCGTTAGCGTTGTTTGCTATATAATGTTGAGTTCCTAAAAGTTTTGAAATTGCAAAAAAAGGGTTGATTTGTTGAATTTGAACATGATCCTGAAGGGATTGACAGAAAAAGTGTAATAATCTATTGAAGATATGTAGCATTTTTCATGCATTATATATTATCATTTCCTTCTATCATCTTTCTTGGCAGCCTTGGCATTTTGGCCATTGTGTATTCAGCATAAATTCTTGCTGTTATTTCAGAGAAAAAATATCAATAAATTTGGAATACTAATTATGCTCACTTGATATGAAATGTTTAGGGTAATATTTGTAACATGTATGTCTACTATCAAGGCTCTATGCATGTACATTAGGTATATACAAGAACTTGTTGCCTTAAGAGTACCTTACTAATGAGTATATCATAAGAACTAATTTTAGAAAAAAGGATGTATTTCAAGGATGATGAGGATGTAATACAAGGAGGATGAGCATGTGTGCAAAAAATTGATTCTAAACAAGTGAATAGATGAATTGGTTCTTAAAATTGCAAACATCGATCATAATAGTTTATGATCAACATGCAAACTTTTGATGTTAGGGTTATGATCAATAAGCATGTGATTTTTCCTATGAATTTTGTTTGGACCAAAATATTTCAATAGTAAGTTGTATATTAATAAGATGATAATGTCCAATTGTATTCTGTCTTCGGTTTGAAGAAATGAAGGGGTGATGGTTGCAAATACTTCAACGCACATGTCAATAAATGAATAAGGTAAAAGATAATGCTTTTAGATTTTCAAGAGTGTGTACTTTGATTCGGTGTCTCTCTCCCTCTTATACAAGGTTTCTTTAGATTTCTCTTTTTTTTTTTTTGGAGACAAATGATATTTTTTACCTCTTAAGTGGACAAATGACAGAATATGATTTGTTATGTCATCAAAGGACCTTCCTTCCATCATTTGCTTGATTCATGTGCTTTTCTAGAGCAAGTCCATACTTGCTCTCTAGAGCTTAAAATTTTCTTTTGGATGATAGGTGCAAGGATGATATTTTTGATATTTCTCTCCTGACACGTCACTGCTCTGACATCACACTCGACTTTATGCTTTGGGTCAAACTTTGAACCTAAGGTAGAGGAAGAGCTTATACAATAATTTTTCTTTTATCTATAATACTCTTAATTTTTTATTATATTCATTTTACTTTTTTTTCTCTCTGTAATAATTATCTAGAGTTAATTTTGACAAAAATGCATTTAATACTACCTTGAACTTTGCAAATAACAATTAAAAAGAAACAAAAAAATATTCAAAAAGTGACACTTAAAAAGAACGGAAGAAGTATTTTGGTTAGGATTGGTGTGACTCCTCGAAGTTTGCCTATCTGTTGTCTTCCATGTGTTAGTCTATAGATAATAACGTGATGGTATATTGTTAGGTCTCTTATGATGAGTTTTATAGGAACTTCTATCGTAAGTATTTTGGTTAGGATTGGTGTGACTCCTCGAAGTTTGCCTCTCTGTTGTCTTCCATGTGTTAGTCTATAGATAATAACGTGATGGTATATTGTTAGGTCTCTTATGATGAGTTTTATAGGAACTTCTATCGTAAGTATTTTGGTTAGGATTGGTGTGACTCCTCGAAGTTTGCCTCTCTGTTGTCTTCCATGTGTTAGTCTATAGATAATAACGTGATGGTATATTGTTAGGTCTCTTATGATGAGTTTTATAGGAACTTCTATTGTAATTATTACTCCGACGACAATGTTCTTTGTTTATTGGTTGATGTTCAACTCTTTACTTACTGTAATTTTAGGTGGGGTTTTGTTTTTCCAACTTCTTCTCACGTGGTTCTAAATACTTTGAGCAATTAATATTTCCTAATTTTGTTATAAGTGTTCTCATTTTTTTCGTAAGTTCTCTCTTATTTTTCTTCTGCAAATGCTAAACCACTTTCCATTAGTAAGTCTTTCTTCCCTTAATTTCTTTTTTGTGCACCTAAGTACAATGGTTCGTGCCATCAAATACCCCCCCTTGAACTTATTCTTGATGAGGGCACATGCATTTCCTTTCCTTGGATAAATGATACTTACTTGGAGACTCCTTATGTATACTCTAATTTAGGCACTATCAACCCCGCCCTCGCCTTTATGTACCAGCTCTGCCCCCGCCCCCAAATCCATTCGAAACTAACATTTGGCCATTCATCCATGCCCCCAACGAGGAACAGGTTTCCTCGCCTCATCTCACATCTACCTGCATAAATTGTATAAAAAGATTAAATGCATATTGTTTCCGTAATAACAAAAATCAACAATTAAACTAAATACTTGTTCATTTTAAAAATAATCATAATACTTAATCATTTTTATTTAATATGTATTTATAAGACAAATGAATAATAATTCTAATAAATATGATATCTTAAGATTAAGAAGGATAAATGAGTAATAAAGTTATCAAAAAAATAAAAAATAAGGATAATAAATTAAATTTAAAAGGTTGGGGTGGGTGGATTTAGGGTTGGTACTAGCATCCCCCGTCCATGCCCCCGCACCCGTAATTAAAAATTAGATATCCCCACACTTATCATGTGTAACACCCTACTCTACTCATTCTTATGATAATTAAAAATACGAAAAATAAATATGAAAATTAATCAGAGTTACACAAGTAGGATGCCACATCATCAAATATCAACATGAAGTATCAAATCACTTCACATCTTATTCATTAATAAAAACAAATAATTTGATTAAACAACATAATTAATTCAAACGGTTTAGCATTAAAGCTTCAATTACACCAAAAACTCCACATAACACGTGGTTTCATAACAATAATCAAAACAGATACGTAACAAATACACGTCAAATAAAATAAAGAAAATATGAAATCCTCATCCTTCTCATGTTACATAACAGACGACTCCTAAGATTCGATCAAATGGAAACACAATGCTCCAAGCCCCACTCGGGTACCTGGTCATCTGTACTCCCTAAGGAGCACAAACACAACAAACAAAAAATGAGTGAGAACTATATTCAATAAATATACGGTGAAAAACACATGCTAAGGAGTAGTTCATACACAAAATATATTAATCGCACAATTATCACGCACATACAAGTGTCACATCATCACTCTACATAAACAACCCACATTCAATCATATATATGCAATGTGATTCAACTGATACGACACAATACATGCGGTACTATCTCAATCACATACAGTTCACCTTAGGACCCGATTCCCGTTGGAATCCGGATAAGTTGTATACGTTCCTCTGAACTACAAATTATCTTCTCTCGACTCCCACACTAAGTCCGGACGAGACTAGGCACCCATCATAGATTCACCTAGCTCATCTCTATATCACATGCCATGAATGTATGACACACAAATTATGCACAATATAACAAATATTAGAGCATAATTCACGATCCTCAATGATCTCACGTGAGTCATATACTCACCATAATTCCCTCCGTAATTACCACCAAAACCCAAGATCGTCTACATATGACAATCTTGGCTCACCAACATCCAACACGTCTCAACTAGACACTCTCATAAAAACCCATGTTTCATCCTACTTAATGTTATTAATAGTTTCTCCTATGTCCAATTATACCATCTTAGTCTTAAGAATCAAGGGAAATTGCATCGCACGCGAAATCGGGACAGGAATCGCGAAAACGGGAGATTTTCACCACAGCTCTGCCCATACGTGTATGGCACTGCCTCATACACGTATGGCCAGTTTCCCTCGCCCCAGGCCTGCGTATCATACGCGTATGGGCTCACTGCCTAGGCCTCCATACGCGTATTGCCTCCTTCCGTACGCGTATGGCCATAGGCCATTTCCCTCAGAATTCCCCTCAAGAACTCACCATATGCGTAAGGCTACTACCGTTCGCGTACAAATCCATCCCTTACGCGTATCATACGCATATGATCAGAAGGTCGTGGTGGCTTGTAGATGGGGTGCATATCATACACGTATTACCCCCTGGGTGTGTCCCTCATACGCGTATGGCCTTTCCCCATACACGTATGACCAGAGAGCATGCCAAAAATCCCAGTTTTTCATCTACACGAGTTCTTACACATTGAAACCCATTTCAACACCTAAGTCAGGTCCAAAATCATATTTATTTCATTTTAATTCCAAGGTCCTAACTCTACTTCATTGTTTCATTATTTTTATCAACATTTTATGTGTTAGAAACCTATTTTTCGTTAACCCCATAAAACCCAAATTTTCATATCTGTTCTATATCAGAACTTAGCAACAACAAAAACAATTTGCACAAATCTGTTATTCGAAAACATCATGCAACACAGATTCACATATACATTCATTACACAACCACTATTTAACAACAACAATCACATAATAATTATCCAATTACAAAAGTCAAGCAAGAAGGAGAAATATACACAGAACCTAAGAGGAAAATGACCCCTCACTACCCTCTCATGTTCAGATCACTTATATTGAATCTCATTATCCCCCTTACATGAAATTCAAGCTTTAATCCTTCAAAAATGGTGGAAAACTCCCTTGTTCCCTTTCCCTAACTCTCTTTCTCTTTCTCTGTTCACGTAGCAGAAACTGACTTCTAACATCTCACTAATTACTCTTAATTGTTTTATTTATTTTATTAATTTTCTAAATAATGATAATAATCCAAATAATAATCCTATTATTACTCCTAATAATAATATTAATAAT